CCCTATATGGGACCAGGCTGGCCTGAAACTCCCAGAGATCCTCCTGCCTCTGCCTCCTGAGTGCTATGATAAAGGTGTGCACCAAACACTCAGCTATATACTTTTGTCTACAACACTCACAGAGCCAGTAATCTCATGAAGCGTCATTGCCATTACTGACTCAACACTACCTTCTAGCAATCATTCAACAAGTATTAATGAAAACCAAACTGTTAGCAGGCAGTGGTGGCACACACCTTTAATCCCAGCTCTCAGGTGGCAGAGCCAGGCAGATCTCTGTGAGTTCAAGGCCAGCTTGGTCTACAGAGTGAGTTCCAGGACAGCAGCCAGGCTACACAGAGAAACCCTGCCTCAAAAAAACAAACAGAAAAAAAACAAAACAAAACAAAAAAAACCAACTGCTCAGTTTCCCCAAAGGTAAAGTCTCAGTTCTAGAACAGGTTACAATCTAGTTAGCATTTTCAAAGAGAAGAAAAGGGAGAGAATTCATATAAATGAATACGCAAAGGGGATAAAGCTAGCTCAGTGGCAGAGTCCTTGCCTAAGATGCAAAAAGACCCTAGATGTAATCTGCAATACCAAAAAAAAAAGAATTTTAAAGAGAATAATGCACATAAGAAATTAGAATATCCAGTCTTCACACCTACATGTGAAAGAAATCTTGACATTATTAAGAGTAAGAGGCTTCCAAGTTTACTTAAACAAGATTTCCTAAAAGAAGTAGAACAGTATCTTACTCCCCATATCTATCATGCTGAACTTAACTCCATATACAAATTCTGAAAACATTTTTATTATTTCTTATTTATTATGTGTGTACACATGCACACACGTGTCACTTGCATGTAGAGGTCAGTGGACAATTTGCAGGAGTCAGCTCTCTCCTTCTACCACGTAGGTCCGGGGAATTGAACTCAGGTCATCACACTTGGCAGCAAGCTGAGCCATCTCAGCAGCCCTGATGATCTGTCCACCATATGTCCCCACCAATCCATTATTTAATAAAAACACAGGGGTTAGAGCAAAGGGCCAGGGAGATGGCTCAGTGGGAAAGGGGTTTGCTGCAAAGCCTGCTGACCCGAGTAATCCCACAGACCCACAAGGTAGAACTGACTCACTCCAATTGTCCTCCATACTTGCATCATGGTGCATGTATATGCACACACACAATAAGTAAGTGCAATTAAAAAAAATGTTACAGCCAGGCATGGTAGTGCATGCCTGTAATCCAAAAGACTGAAACAGAGGGATTCCAAGACCAAGGTAAGCCTGGACAACTTGGCAAGTTCCAGGTCAGTGTGGAACGGTTTATCGAGGTCCTATCGCCAAAGAATGAATGAAGGAACAATGAACTAACAAACACCACCACCTCAGACACCTGGAATGAACATTCGGGGGTCACTTTAACACGTTCCCATATTTCATCAGCTAAAACTCTCCAGAAGACCGCCTAAGAATAAATACACAACCTAGGAGGTGATTCCAAGATGAACAAGCAATTACTGCCTTAAAGCAACTCCTCCCATCTCACACCAGCAAATCTAATGCTGCAAAGATGCTGTTTCCTACAAGTCTTGTTTGGGTCCAAACTTCCCTCTATCATTTCACCCAATACTTTAACAAAGCCCTCTTTAATGTTAGAAGAGTTTAAAGTCTCTCTTTTTCTTTAAATTTTTATTTTATGTACACTGGTGTTTTGCCTGCATGTGTCTGTTTGAGGGTGCCAGAGCTCCTGGAACTGGAGTTAAAGATAGTTGTGAGCTGCCATGTGAGTCCTGGGAATCAAACCCGGGTTATCTGGAAGAGCAGCCAGTGCTCTTAACTACTGAGCCATCTCTCCAGCCCCTTAAAGCCTCTTTTAACACAGTGGGGAAGTCAAGGGATACAACCTCAAGTAGTTGGACTAAAGCCTCTAAAACTCAAGGCTTAGGTAGGGCCAGCGAGATGGTTCAGGGGAGAAAGTGCTTTGCTGCTTAATGATGCTAGTCTGATGACCTGAGGTCAATCCTTGGAACCCACATAAAGGTGAAAGAGAAAGAAACAACTCCTGAAAGCTGTCCTCTGACCTCCAAACATATTCACCCTGCTGCACATGTGCCCACACACAATGATATTTTTTTAATTTAAATAAAAAATAAATTTAAAGTAAAAATTTCAATATCAAGACTTAAGCACATCATTTGAAAGTATAAGGCATCTAATAAACAGAAATAACTAAAGATCAGAATGGAGAACAAAAAAGAAAACATGTCAATGACATCCATTCATCCATTTCACCCAGGGAAAGCTGAGATCTAGAGTCATTTTGGTAAACAGAGAAATGATGGAGCAGGCCATGGTGACATACATCTCTAACCCTAGCATCTGAGAGGATAAGGCCAAGAGGAGTCAGTCCGAGGCCACCCTGGGCTACATGAACCAGACAGAAATGACATGAGCCTCCCAGCTACTTAGGAGAGCTGGAGAAAAACATGAACTTCAAAAAATTAATGCTTAGAAGTAGCAGCCTGTGATAGAGGACAAGTGTGAGGGACAGCATGAGGTAGCAGAGAGATAAATATGAGCAAAGCGCATTATATACATGTACAAAATTGCCAGAAGGTGACCGGTTATTTTGTACAAAGCGTGTTTATTTATTTTCTTAAGGTGTAAGGTGAGAACAAGGTCAAGAAAAAACAGTGGGCTGGAGTGGCAGCTCAGTTGGTAGTGTTTACCCAGCAGGCAAAAAGTCTCGGGTTCAGAGGGCGGTGATGGCACACGTGTTTAATCCCAGCACTTGGGAGGCAGAGGCAGGCAGATCTCTGTGAATTCAAGGCCAGCCTGGTCTACAGAGCCAGTTCAGGACAGTCAGAGCTACACAGAGAAACCCTGTTTCAAACCTCACCCCGCAAAAAAAGTCCTGGGTTCAATTCCCAGCACTGCATAAACTAGATGTGGAATTCACACCTTTAATGCCAGAACTTAAGGAGGCAAATGGTTCAGAAAGTTAGAGCCATCTTCCCTACATACTTAAGAGGCCAGTCTAGGTGACAGAAGTCCTGAACAACAACAACAAAAAGTAAACCAGGCATGGTGGTGGTGCGCACGCCTTTAATCCCAGCACTTGGAAGGAAGAGGCAGGCGGATCTCTGTTGAGTTTGAGGCCAGTCTGGTCTACAGAGCGAGTTCTAGAGCAGCCAGAGTCACATGGTGACACCCTGTCTCAGAAAAGGGGGGTGGGAAGGGGGTGTCACACAGCACAGCAGGCAGCAGTCTCTAGAAAGCAAACTGCAATAGACAGCGTTTGCTTTTCTTTGTTAGTCCCTCAGAACCATTTTTTAAATTACATATATAGTCATATTATTTGCATAAGAAAAACAACGCACTATATTTAGATGTATTGTAGTAAAAGAACTGACTATACAGTACTAGTGGGGGGACGGGACTGAACTTCTCATACCATAATAACAAAAAAAAAGGAAAAAAGAAAGAAAAAAGAAAATTGGTACATCATATCAAGTAAGCCCTTTTTAAAAGTGACCAAATCAGGTTGGAGAAACAACTAATCAGTTAAGAGTGCTTCTTCCAAAGGACCCAAGTTCAGTTCCCAGTACCCACATCAGGCAGTTGGATCCAGGGGATCCAACATTCTCTTCTAGCCTCCTTGGATACCCGCAAACCTGTGGCATATGTTCACACAAACACATACACATAAATAAAAATCTTTAAAAGTGAACAAATCTAAATGCACTGACAAGGAACTTTCCCAAGTGTTATAAAACAAAAATCCCGATTATTTCTATAAGAAAAACTGTAATGGAAAAAAATCTCCCCACATTCAGTAGCATCTTAGCTGAGAAATGAAATCTTTGCTAATGGAATGAATGATGCCTGAGTTTCCCATCCCTCTCCCAAATTTCACTCCATCTTCCCCATTAAGTTTCTTCAACTTCTATAAAAAGATTTGTCACATGTAATACACTTATTATCTTCTCTTCAGCTGAAGTAATATTTCAACATATTATGTATGTAATTCCTCTTAATAACAAAAGGTGAATAGTATTCAGGTAGATTTTAAGACACTAACCTAGCCATGCAGTGGTGCACACTTTCAATCCTAACACTCGGGAGGCAGAGGCAGATGGATCTCTCTGAGTTCGAGGCCAGTTTACAAAGTGAGTTTCCAGGACAGCCAGAACTACACAGAGAAACCCTGTGTTGGGGGGGGGGGGTACGACATGGACGGACGGACACCAAGACATTGTCCTCACCCAGTGTTCCTTCTTGAAAATCAGGTCTAATGTGCACTCAGTAAATACAACAGAAAGAACTTGGTTTCCTGACATAAAGATGCTAACTGTCCCTCCTCAACAGACCTAGACTCATCCTGTCACCTCAAGTTTCCTAAGACATCATGATTAACTAACTACTCTTGACCTCCTTATAACCCAAGATCAACACAGATATTTTAGAGCCTCCATTCTGCACGCCTACATTTTGCTGGCAGATGTTATTTTCTTCAATAACACCATGCCTTGATGACAAAGTACATCCGGAATTGTGAATGGAAAAGGATCTCCCGCCAACCTGAGGTATAGAACCAATCCAACTAGACTCCTTTGGGCTACAAATAGAGCCTCCAAAGACGGGACCATAATGCACCGACTCTCAACACGAACAATTATAATCTTGTGTCCTGCAACCTAGGCTGAAATACAGCACCGGCTCTCCTGGAACCATGGAAGCCAGGGAGGGAAGAAGAAAACCTCCAGGCCAAGTAATTCCTATTCTAGTGTCTGCCAGGACCGTGTTCATCCAGCCTCCGGTAAGCGACAATACTCCAAATCTGCTAAAATTCTAAACTCCGTGGCCTCAAGAATCCCCACAGGCCAGGCTGTTTCTCAAGGTCTCTTTCAAAGATTTTCAGTTCAGTAGTGCGGCACTAAAATGTCTCAAACCAATCTACAAGCTAAGTGACTAATTCTCAATGACCCCCAACCACAGCGGGGACCCACACTTACCGGATGTCATCTACTGAAGAGCCCAAACAGGTTCCGAACTAGGCCACTCTGGCCCATCTGGAATAACTCTTTAGACCTTGGGCCAGCATTTGATAATTACGCTACATCTGTCTATTCTATTATGCATTCCCTGCATCTTCTCTAATATTTAGCACTCCTCTAGTTTCAAATGCTCTCCCTTACATCCGCAGAAACTACTCTATGCCGTCTTTCCTTGCCTTGGAAACGGTTCGGCTCTTTCCATAATGAAACACCTAACATCTGCACAATGAACACCCCCAGAATCCTCAAGACTGCTCCACAGCCACCCCCGGCATTCCTCCACCTATCCGGCATCTTCCCTCCGGTCCCTTTCTCCCCTTTCGCACTCCCACTATGCTTCCTGCAAGCAATCCCCTTTCTCCAGCCCCTGCCCTTCCCTGCAGCCAAAGAGCACACCGAGACAGCAGCGGCGACCGAGGCCTGCGGTGCATAAAGCACTGCACCAAGACGGCGGAGAGCCCTGGGGTCTGGCCGGCCTCCTCGCCCACAGCCTGGCACCCCGAGGCCTCCCCGCGAGCATCCCACCTCCTTCCGACCCGACACCGGCCTCAGGCCTCGGAGGCCGCCAGCTCGCCTCCGCCGCCCCCGTCATTCTCCGTTCTCCAAGCCCCGACCCACCATCCTCGCCCCGCTTCCTCGCGTCCCCCAGCCCCGCGCTCCCGCGGCCTGCGCCCGCCGCCTCCCGGGCCGCCCCCCCGCCCCCCCGGCTGGCCCGCCGCTCCCGCGGGTCAGGCCGTCGCCGCCGCGCTCCCCCCACGCGCGCCGCCCCCTCCCCTCCCCCGCCCTCCCGGGCCCGGGCCTGCCAGGCCGAGCGTTTACCGCGGGCTGGCGCCGAGGCGCGCGGTCACCGACTGCAGGCGGCGGCGGCTCCGACCTTCCCACGGGCCCGGCAAGGAGGGCGAGGGGGAGGGGAGAGAACTTTTGCTGTGGCAGCTCCGGCGACAGCTCCCACCCCTGCGCCTTTCTCCTCTTCCTCCCCCTCCTCCTCCTCCTCTTCCTCCTTCTCTTCCTCCTCCCAGAGCAGTCGAGAGGCAGACATGGCGCGGCTAGAGCGCCGCCGCGGTCGCCGCCGCCGCCGCCGGCGCGGTGCATTGTGGGAAGCCCCGCACACAGGAAGCGCTCCGGGCCGCCCGCCCTCGCCTGGCGCGGAGACCTGGCTGCGAGACCCAGCGTGGCTTTGATTCCGGCGCCTGCGTGTCAGCAGCAGCGCAGCGTGGCCGGGGAAGCTGGCCCCGCGCCGCGGGTGCCCCTGATGGGCCTGGAAGGAAGACGCTTTGGAATAGATCGGAGCTGAGAAAGCTCCTGGGAGGAACGTCCACCCCTTGAGGCTGGGTGCGTGCCTGGCGCCCCGAGAAGTGAGGAATGGGGATTCATAGCCGTCCGGGCCCGGGGAAGTGGAAGGGGCGAGAAGGTAGATGAAAGGTTTGACCAGAATTTCGTGCATCTTTCTTTACTCCTCTTACCGAGCCTCTCCTCTGCGACCCCAAGTGTCACCTTTTCCGGAAGATGCAACCCTGCAACCTTGAAACTAGAAAACCTTGTTGGAGTCTGCAAACCGAGATGCAGGATGTGGGCACCGAGAAAAAGCAAGAGATCCCAGTCAGGACTTTGTTGGGCCCAAACCTCGTTCTGCGTGCCAACAAAGACTTGGTTATGATCTGTGCAGACCTAAGATTGCTCACTTGTCCCGTCTTTTGGAGACCCTTTGGTGACCTTCATTAAATGCTGTCCTTCCTACTCTCTTTTAACTGACTTGCCTATACAAAGGGATGGCATACAATTACTCACCTTTGTACCCACCCACTAGTACAAGGTCAGCTAGGTAACCGGTCAACAGTCACCGAACGTATTAGGTTATCAGGAACTTTCTGAGATGGAGTACCTTCATTATGGTTTCTTCATTAATCTCAAGGCTTTATTTAGCACCTCTCTGCAATACTTAAACATAACCTTTGAGGTGAGAGGGAAAGGACATTAAAATAGCTACATAACCATTTCTGGAATTCTCTCCTTGTCCACACCCACCTCCCCACCCCTGAATGTTCATTTGAATAGTGTGTTTTGGCAAAACTCCAGACTCTCAAATTATGCACTTGTGATGACACTGAATTAGATTACTGTCTGCAAGGTTACTATGCCCCCCAGGCATTACCCTTAGTCAGTCATGAGGCCCGTTTGAAATAGCCGAGGCTCAGAAGTTCATCTGAATTCAGACACAGGTAACTAAGAAATGCAGGGATGAGCCAACAGCTCCACAATAAACTTTCCATTCACTTTCTCAACTGAAACATAAATTTTAATAAGATGACACTGCATATTCTGAAGGCTAATTGTAACAAAACAGTGATATAAGCTAGAGCAAGGGACAGTTAGCTGGAGGACAGCCTTCTGGCAACTGCAATGGCATCAGATTCAGATTTAAAAAAAAAAAAAAAAAAGAAACGAGCAGCAAAGAAGCCGACTTGGAGTTTTAAGCTGTGGAGACGCTGACAATTAGAACTGAAAGCCTAGGGTTCCACCCATTGGACTAAGGCGGATAGGGTTGGCACTAGGAACAGCTCTAATTCTTGGTTTCTGAACGTAAGAGATGATGAAGAAACAATCATCTAAAGTGGGCAAAAGAAAAGACTACAGACAGTGACAGCCATAGAGTGAGCAGAGGCCCTTGATAGCTTAAACCTCTGGAAACACTTCTGGCCCGTTTGTTATCCACCGCCGTTGCTCCCCTTCCCATTGCCAGTCCTAACCGTCAGCTTGCCTCCTTTCCCTCTTTCTTAATTTCTTCTTTTTCTTCCCCTTTTAAAACAATAACAAGAGGCTGGAGAGGAGGTAGCTCAGCATTCCAGAGCACTTGCTGCTCTCAGAGGACCCAAACTTGGTTCCTGTCATCCGCTGCATTACTCCAGCGATTTCCTCTTCTGGCCTCCAAGAGCACCTGCACACACATGGTAGATGGCACCCACCATACCCGTGAATAAAAATAACAACAAAAAGGGCCAGCAAGAGGGCTCCGCAGGTAAAGGCACTTAACGGCACAAGACTGGCAACCTGAACTCAGCGCCCATTGAAGGTAGATGGAGCGACCAACTCCGCAGAGTTGCCCTCTTCGCCTCCACATGTACACACACTAATAATAAATAAAAATTTAAAAACAACTGTAGACTCATAAGAAGTTACAGGTACAGTGCAAAACACCTCACTTATTCTTCACGCAGCCTTTCCCAATGGTATAACAAAACTCTAGGAAGACATCAAAATTAACAAATGGACAGGAGCATATACCCGTTAACTAGTCCACAGAACTCTTCCGTATCTGTGACCTTTTAACCCATGTGCTTCTACGTGTGTGTTTAGAGTTTACCGCTATTCCTGTGTGTAGACCTGTGCTCCTGTCCCTACAATGAAAATAGAGAACCACTCCTTGGTGGCGTTCGCCTTTAATCCCAGTGCTTGGGAGGCAGAGACAGATCTATCTGAGTTGGAGGCCAGCCTGGTCTACAAAGTGAGTTCCAGGACAACCAAGGCTACACAGAGAAACCTTGTTCAAAAAAAAAAAGAAAGGAACCACTGTTTATCACGAAAGAACCCCCTCATACCACCTGTACAGTTTTTATCTGAACTGTCTGTCCCTCAGCAGCTCATGTGTTAAAGACTTGATGGTGTTCAGAGGTGGGGCCTGTTGCAGTGATTAGAGCCTATGGGCTCTAACCTTAGCAAAAGATTACTAAAATATCAGTTTAACATATTACCAAGAAGTAGAGTAGAAACATTAGGAAGTGAGCCCTAGTTGTACAAAACAGGTAGCTATTCTCTGTTTCTTTGTTACTATTTGTTTGGTTTTTGTTTTCATTTTATATTTCTATGGGCTTGTCCTTTCAAGAATGTTAGATAAGCACAAATCATGTAACACACACACACACACACACACACACACATATATATATATACATGTACTGTGTGACCTTTTTCCCAGCTGTACTAGGGATTTGACCTAAGGCCTTATGCACTCTACCACTGATCAAAAGCCCCATACCTCATGTGACCTTTTGCTGTTGATGTTTTTACCTAAATGCAATGCCTTTGCAATTCATATAATTTGCCACACAAGTCAAATGTTCATTTGTTTTATTGCTGAGTACTATTCTATTGTGTGGATACACCAGAGTCCATTCATCCATTCTCCATGTACATATAAATTGTTTCTAGCTTATTGGCTAGTATTACTCAAACTACTTCGATAACTGTTATACAGATTTTTGTTTTTGTTTGTTGGTTGGTTTTCAGAAGTGCTAGGGATTAAACCCTGGGCCCTACATACACTAGGAATATGCTGTACTAAGCTACATCCCCAGGCCCTGTATATAGGTTTCTGTGTAAACTTAAGTTTGTATTTCTTTAGGATAAATGCCCAGGAGTATGACTGATGTGTCATATGGTACATACTTTTTTTTTTTTTTTTTTTTTTTTTTTTTTGAGACAGGTTCTCACTATGTAGTCCTGGCTGTCCTGGAACTTGCTATGTAGAGCAGGCTGGCCTCAAAAATCACAGAGATCCTTCCTCCTTCCTTCCTCCTGTGCCTCCTGAGAGCTGAGATTAAAGGTGTGGGCATCACACTCAGCAGCATACTTTTCTTAAGAAACTCCTGGTTTGGAGAGATGGCTCAGAGGTTAAGAGCACCGACTGCTCATCCAGAGGTCCTGAGTTCAATTCCCAGCACCCACGTGGTGGCTCACAACCATCTGTAATGAGATCTGGCACCCTCTTCTGTGTACATAATAAATAAATAAAATCTTTTTAAAAAAGAAACTCCTACACCAAGTTAGGGATGTAACTTGGTTGGTAAAGTGTTTGCCTAGCTAGCATACACAAAGCCTTGGTTTCCATCCCAAGCACCTCATAAAACCAGGCCTGGTGGCACGTGCCCTTATTCCCAGCACTGAGCAGGTAGGGGCAGGAGGGGCAGAGGCTCAATGTCATCCTCAGCTACATAGTGAACCCTAGGGCATTCTGGGATATATGAGAGCCTGTTAAAGAAAGGAAAGAAAGAAAGAAAGAAAGAAAGAAAGAAAGAAAGAAAGAAAGAAAGAAAGAAAGAGGGAGGGAAAGAAAGAAATCACTATATTATGTTCCAGAGTGATTCTCTATTTCAAAATAATTTTGTTACATGCATTTCTTTATTTGGGGGGGGGAGGGTTCAGATGTATGAACATCAGAGGACATCTTGCTGGAGTCAGTGCTCCCAGCCACCATGGGATTGAACTTAGGCCACAATGCCTTTCCCCACTGAGATCTCTCATCCCTGGTCCTGTCATTTCCCATCCAACAGCAATGTTTGAGAAATCCAGCCCTTCCCCATCCTTGCCGGCATTCTCAAGTGAGCGGTGTTGATTTTATAACTTTTCATAAGTGAGTATTAGTTCAGTTCTTTTCCTCTTAAAAACATTGGCTGTGGAGCGGGACACTCACTCTCCCGACTCCTGCTTTCATCCAAGGGCTTGTGAAAGTGCACAAACATCTTTTGTTGAAAGATTACCTTACAGACAACTATCACTGGTAAGTTGGGAAGTCCCTTAAAATGGTATACTTTGTGTCTCAGCTTTTTAATTTCTTTATCTGT